CAGCGCCCAGCGGCCACCCCCCACCTCCCCAGAGCCGCTCCGGGCCCAGCTGTCCTGGTGGAGCTAACCCAGCCCGCAGCCTGTGCACCCTGCTCCTCGCCGACTCAAAGCCAGGCAGTTAAAGTAACGCCGAACATTTCGCCTTCCTGCTTCCAGGCTGCATTTTTAACCTTTGCCACGGCTCGAAACGCGCTCTTGCTTTCTAAGGGATTCAGGGTCCTTTTCACGTGGCTCTGAGAGCTCAGGCTTGAAGGAAAAATAGAGTGAAAATGAAAGGAGCCAGACGCGTGAGGGTTCCACGTAGGGCAAAGAACAGTTTAACGTTTTGGCAAGTGGCTAGTTAGATATGGCATTAAAAGCAGCTGAAAGTAGAAGAGCAGGGTGCAAGCTGTGGAGGTGATTGTCTGAGAATGACGAAAGAGAGACGAGTTCCCAGGAAGGGAGCAGGACTGTATGGTGGGCAGCTCTAGCTGGGGGGTAAGGTTGTTGTCACTGATCCAACGGCAGATAAGATTGTCTGGCTGCTGTGCCACTGTTACCTCAAACTCAAAGGAATGAGTCACGCTTCAGAGCAGCATCTTCTAGAAAAACGTGCAGTTGTGTTCCTCTCTGCGTTACGCTTTTTGCATCACTGCTCTGTGCTTGCTTCGTGGTTTTAAGCTCTTTCACTACTTCCAGGATATCTGGAAGTGCAGGTTTTTAGTTAAAGGAAACCTGTGATGCTGAGATAACGCTGTTGGCTCCAGGACTACGGGCTTCAAAAGCCACAGGGCATGAAATTCAGAGTAAGAGCGTGAGATTTGGCCCATGCCTCAGTGCTAGCCTGGGAAAGGGAACGTCTGCATTTTTAAATCCCTTGCTTGTTTATGAGAGAGGTTGGGGAAAAAAAATCTCTCCTGTCAGTAGTTTAATTGGTGCGGAAATCTAGAGGATGGATAAAATGCGTTTTGGAAGAAATCTTTATAGTGTGACACTATGAACCTCAGCCTCTTTCCTAGGTGCTTATTCTTTTGCATTATAGTTCAAGTGAAAGGTTAATGGAAATAGTTTCCAAAGTCAGACACGTATAAATGCAATTTCTGAGAACTGGAGTCACAGTAATAAAACCTTTTTTTTCCACAGGCTATCACATCTCCTCACAGGCAAGGACCGCTGTGCTGAAGCAACTGGTTTCTACTATAGGCCTTCTCTTTGACCAGTAAAAAATGGGTCTGTGGGGCTGAGGGGCTGATCTCTGTGCAGAACTTCTGCTTCCAAAGAGTTTTTTTCCCCTGCCACAGTTTGAGAAATCTGTCTCAGCTTTTTGAATACCAGTGCAGCAGTACTCGAAAATTCCCTTCCATTTTTATTACTCAGAGTAGCAAAACCTCCCTGCAGGAAAAAAAAAAAAAGTCACTTTTTTCACCCCAAACCTTTAATCTAACATCTTGAACTCTTGAAAAGTATCACCCAGCTTCTTAGGATTGATTGAAAAAAATGTGCAAAACAATTGGTCGACAGATTTTCCTCATTTTTGTGTGCGATTTCAAAATTTGCTGATATTTCAAGTTTCATAACACATTGACCTCCTCTGTGATCCAGTTGCATTGGTTTGATGTGATAAATAGATCCTAATAGGTGTGGTGTTTGTTTTTCTGAACAGGGACTTCTGAGAATTAGTTGCCTTTTTGGAAGTTTCCCCACTTTTAAACCTGACTGAATTGGTAAAATGACTGCTCCAGTTCCAAAACTGTGGAACTACATCCCAGAAGAAATCCTCATCCAGGTTTTCCATTATCTTTCTCTTCGAGATAGATACACAGTCTTCCAGGTGTGCAGACAGTGGGCTGCAGCCGTTTCTTCCAGCTCCGTCTGGCATTTCACAGCCATCAGGTAAGAGGGTTCTGATGTTCAGGCATCTCTTCATCGTGACACTTTTGGTGTCTGCCAAACCCTTAGGCCACCCTACTGTGGCATTATTGCCATTAATGGTGATTTCTCTGTGGGATGATGACTGCATGACTAGCACCTTTCTGTATCATAGAGAAAATTGTGTTATATGCTGCGATTTTTAATTGCTGATGATGATTTGGGCTTTATGGGATGTTACTACACTCCTAGTAAGTTGCTCTAAGTTGCCTGTTGAAAAATGGCAAGAGACAGTTACTAGCTAGCAGTGAGGCATTGGGCCAAGCTGCCCAGGGAGGTGCTGGAGTCCCCATCCCTGGACGGGATCAAAAAACATGTAGATGTGGCACTTTGGGACATGGTTTAATGGTCATGGTGGTGTCGAGTTGATGGCTGGACTTGATCTTTAAGGTTGGAAAAGACACCTATGATTCATCAGGACACTTAGATCTCTCATGGGTCTTTCTGGGATCTGACTTTTCTCAACTCCTGACTCCTACAGCATTTAGCTTTACAGTGACCCTCCAGGCACCAAGTGAGAACTGCCTGAGGAACCTGTTATGTTTGCAGAAACACTAGTAAAGGAGAGTGTCTGCTCTGTGCTCGCTCAGCTCAGCATCCACGGACACTGAGAGTTTGCTTTTCCCTTCCAGCTGTGACTCGGAGGATGAGGAGGGCATGCTGCAGAGCCTGCGCCAGTTCCTCACCCAAATCAAACACCTGAAGATTGTGTTTGACCAGTCCAAGGAGGTCAACCGGAAGAACGTGACATGCATCTTGGATGCGCTGGCAAAACAGAACCACAAGCTGCAGCAGCTCTGCATTGTGTGCCACGGGGAGAACCCTTATTTCTACTCTGGCCAGGACATCCTACAGAGCATACGGAATTTGTGTGATGCTAAAAACCAGATAGATCTTCAGCATATTGATTTTCGAAGGATGCCCTTCACTCTCAGTGGTGAGCTTGTTGAACTCTTAGCCACCACCAACCCAAACCTGCAGAGCTTGTTCGTCAACAACCGCACCCTAGTGTGCAACGTGGCACCAGACACCGTTAGGAGAGTTCTCAGAGCATGTCCCAGACTCTCAGCCTTGGGGGTTTATTATGCCAGTTTGTCTGACGAGGTATTTCAGGAACTGCTCAAGCCTGACAGAGCAGCTTTCACCTATTTAGACATTTTCTGTGAGCGCCTGGACAAATACATACCGGTCATCTCAGAAGAGCTCTGGGCTGCTGTAAGTCAAAAGCATCCTCAACTCTGTGTAGACCTGGAGTTTGATCATACGGTCCCTGCCTGCAAAATACCTCGGATCCTAAAGCTGAACATACCTGTGAGCACTCTGCAACTTAACACCTATAATTACATGGTAAATCAGATCAGGTTTGTCACCCAGAGCTACAGCAGTACCTTAAAGAAGCTGACACTGCAAACGACCTCCTCGGAGGACTTGAATTCCTCGCTGGTAGACCTGGCCAGGCAGTGCAGAAATCTGCTGGAGATCCACTGCTACTGTGTGGTCAGCCAGGAGGTGGTGGAAGCGTTCCTCACGCACTGCCCCAGGCTGGCACGGTACACTCTGAAGGTCACCAAGGAACGGCACCCCTGGAAAGCAGTGATGGTTCAGTGACCAGCTCCTCCCGTCTCCCAGGGGAAATCCTGGCCATCCGCAAGAGGACGGGGGAAGAAGATTGGGGTCTATAATGGAAAGGCTGCAAACAGCCCTCTGCATCCACAGAGAACTTGGTCTTTCAGACCTATGGTGCTCACCTGTTGTGTAGACAAAGCACTACACTCAAATGTGATGGCGAGAGAAAGGATTTTACACAGAAATAGAATTCTTTTTTGCTGTGTTTTTTTCTTTATGGGGTGTGTAGGGCAGGGCTTTTTTCTCCTCTGCTGCTTTATTTAGCAGGAATGCCAAGTTCACCCTTTGTTGTTTGTTTGTTTGTTTTTTTTCCTAAGGACCTCAGCAAAATTTAATTTTTATTTTGCAATTTAAAGGAATCTCAAAGTCAAGCACGTGTTGTCAGGTACCCAGCCACTACTTACACGGAGAGTTAAGGGAGTGGCAGCTGTTTTCTGGCCAGTGGGGTCCTTGGCCATGCAGGTTGGGTGAGCTACAGCCATCAGCTGTGCACATCTGGTGGAAATTCCACCCCAACCTTGGTAAATCCTCTTTTGCTATTTCAGTGATGGTGAGCTCACCTGTTATCCAATTGTCAGGTAACTTCCAGCGTGGAGGATATAACAGGAGCTGAATTATGTTAGAAAACACAAGCAGGAGAAAAGGCACATAAGGAAAAACATTCACAAGGTAGTAATAAAAAAATACATGGCCTGCAAGTTCCCTTGTCCATCTGGTCTGCCTTTTGCTCAAGGAATGCAGGTTTCTGGGTTGTAATTTGAATTCCTTTTGCAGAGACCTTGGTAGATTTATAGAATCAAGAGCATTGAGGCAGTTGGTGAGTCTGGTGTCTGCATTTCTGCATTCACGCACAAGTTGTCCTGCATCTGAACTGTTGTACCAAAGATTTTGGTGTTATTTGAAGAGCAGTTTCTGAGTTGAAATGATCCTGATGTAGAGATACACTGCGAGCATCTACTTAGAGCTATTTAAAGCATTTATAATAATAATAAATCCATATTGTCATCTAGATTCTGTGTGATTTTATTGCCCTCTTCTCAAGATCTTTTCTCAGCCAAATAATTTCTCTTGACAAGTAATGTAGGATCTATAGCCAGCCCAACTTAAAATTTTGCCTTTCCAAAACCTCGCCAAGGCTATGCAGCCCCGAGGCTTGGCCAGCCCTCATTCCTCTGTGCCAGCCCTCCTTTAGGACCAGAAAGTTCCAAGTTAACAAGTCCAGGTGCCTTCCCAAACCTGTCTCTGCTGTGCCGGGGCATCCCCCAGGTGGGTTCAGTCCGGTGCCTTGCCACCCTCCCAGCACAAGGTGCTGGGCACGTGCTCCCTCTGCATGACGCTGCGTGTTTATTCACCGCTCTGCGAGATCGGCTGCGGTGCATTTTCATTCTGTGCATTGTTCCCTGGGGCTGGTGATGCCATCGCATTGTGCTGAGTTTTTAAGAGTGCTGATGTGACTCCCTGGGAGCCTACTTTCCACTGGCCCGGCATAAAATTGGGTGGTGGATTCTCTGTGGGACGCAGGCGCAGGAGGGGAGGCAGGCGATGGCATTGGTGTAGCTGGGGCACTGGGAAAGTATGCAGGATTCACCCAGCTCCCTGGTGATGGATGGATACTCCAGCAATGTGCCAGCTTTCCTGACCAAACTCTGGACGCTGGTGGAAGATCCTGAAACGAACCATCTCATCTGCTGGAGTTCTGTAAGTACAGGGAATAGCAGGTGGCACCAGGCTGCGAGGCCACAGCAACTGCCCCTGAGTGCTGGCCACCCCTTAAGCAAGTGCTGGGCAGCTAATGGAAGACTGAGAGGACTCATTTATCTGTAATATTGTGAGGGTTTTCCCTTTTAAATGGGCAATCGGTTTGGGAGTGGTTTAATAACAATATTTACATGTTTCACTTGAAGCATCTGCAGGGTGTTTAATACTGAATCTCCTAAAAATTCCAGACTCTTTAGGAGTCTCCTAAAAATCTAGAAAAGGTGCAAAGCCCTTAAAAAAATTCTGCTGCTGTTTATATTATTTATATTATATTATTTCACCAGTTTTTCTTAGCAGCCTTTCACAAATGCCTTGGGAGAAGGCAGCAGATAAACAGCACCCAGATCTCAGGCTGAAACCGATAGTTTAGACAAAGCTCAGCCTAAGTCACTCACATTTGGGCAGAGCTTTACTTGATCTTTCAAGCAGCCTGTGAGATGGCCACAGTGATGTGTGTATGAATTGTCTGTCCAGCTTCACAGGGATAGATTGCTTTGCTTTGCCTTATTTGTCACTGAGGCATTCATGGTGCAATTAGTGAGTTAAAATGATTTATTTGTAATAAATAAATTTATTTTTATGCTCCCTCGTACAGCATTTTGCTACCACGTTGGGCTTTTGACCTAAGACCTGGTGCAAATAACGTGATATGTCTTCAGCAGAGAGTTATCAGATAAGTTGTGTGCTTAAACATGTTCTCCAAAATCAAGCATCTGTAATAAAACCAGACTGCAACAGGAAAAAAATAGTCTAAAGCGGCCTTTCTGTCATGTGTGCTGAGTGAAGGTTTCATTGAAAGTTTGAGATACGATTTGAGCTGCATTGTAACCCAGTGGTTGCTTTCTGATGTTGGTATTACGAGGCCATACCTCTGAGGATCACCAAGTTTTGGTATCGTGTTTTAAATAAGGACTTTCAAACTGGGGGGGGAAGGTGTTCTAACTTGTATAAATAATCCCTTTTCTGTTACACTTATAAGATTGGTTTTTTTGACCACTCGCCACCACCTTGCTCAGCATTCCTCCAACGTAGGCTACGGTTGCGTTCTTGGGAGGTTTTGGTAAGGCTTTTAGGTGTCTAATTTTCCCATGTGGCATGTTCTCACATTTCCCATATTCTTCCTTCAATGTTGTTGGAGCTGAGAAATTGTGCGCATGCCCAGGATTTCTGGGTATAATCAGAACTCTTAGAAAACAGGGCTTAGAAGGACCTCTGAGCTGTTTTTTAGCATGAAGGAGAGAAGAAATGGAGAGGAAAGGTGGTAATGGTTTCCATACGTGCTTACATATGCTGTTGAAAGGTGAAAAGGTCTGTTGTCGGTGTCTGTGGTAGACTGGATAAGAAGTAATTAAAGAGATGCAGTTAGAAAGAACTCAAAACAAATTCCCCAAGTAGCTTGGACAGGGCACAGGGTGTCTGTCATCATGGGTCTGTCAAAAGCAGCTAAAATAAGCAGCTGCCAGGACTGACGTGCTGCAGGGTGATGTTTACCTTGAGCACAGAAGCATCTCCCAGCCTGCGCTCCCATGATGTAAGACAAGCAAGGCACAGTCTGTTGTGTCTGTAGGAACCCCTTTGGGTCCTGCAGCCTCTGAGAACATTGCAGCCCTGAATTCCAAGGAGTGACCTCTCAAGAGAGGCCATAAGGAGATGTTCAGGTATACAAAACCCTTGTGTTTCTCATTTTACATCAGCCTGGGATTCACAGTTCTGTCCCAGAGAGTGGGTGGGCAGAAGGACAAGGGAAGCAGGATAAACCTAAACTACCTCCATCCCCAGAACAGCCGCTGCAAGGTTGAGGCACCCTGATCCCTGCTGTCAGGTCTGCAAGCTCAGTCTGCAAGGATAACTTCAGCATAGGGATTATTAGGGAATCTCCAAAGCACTGGACTGGCTTTTGGTTCTGCTGCATGGGGTAAAGAATGGTAGGAAAGATGCTGATGACGGTCCAAGGGCACAGTCAGGGCAGACAGTCACGCTCAGTGTTTGTAGAGGTGAACATGGAGCAAGAGGTCCAGCAGATCCAAAGTCTCATGGTCACGGGCATGCAGGGTTAGTCATTAGAGCTGACTAATGAGCTGGAGCACAGAGGGGTTTGGCACTGTTTGGTGATGGCCATGTAGTGGAAGGAGGAGAGCAGCAGGGTTTCTTACCTGGCTGTTTTCTGGTGGCTGTAGGCAGGCTATGGGCACACACCAGCACCTCTTTAGTCACCGGACTTTTTCGTGGTCCTGATGACGCTCCCTGTTTCAGAAACTTCCAGGCAGGCCTGAGAGCACCCATGTAGCTACAGCCCCTGTGGTGGGACCCAGGCACCACTGGTATTCTCCTACTGCACTCACAGCCTGAGTGCTCACTCCTACACCACCCTGCTCCTCAGCCAAAATCCACTCTTCAGCTCCATGTCTTTGGAAGCTTGGCTGCAGCTGAGTTACTAAGTCCCAAGTAACTGCTGCTGTCTTTGTTCTGTCCCTCCATAGAGCTGTGGAGAGCTTAGGCTGCACCATCAGGTGGTTCCCCAGGTAGCTCCTTCTCTCTCCACAGGCAAAGCCAATGTCAGCCCCTGGAAGACATCCTGCTCTGCAGGTTTCCAGAAGAGCCATGTGTGCCCCAAACACTGCGTCTGAAATTGAGATTCTTCATTCCTCCAAATTCCTGGTGCTGCCCCACCATCCAGAGCAGAGATAGGACTTAAGGTGGTCCCTGCGTCACCACATCCTGGAGACACTGGTCTATTGAGGTTGGAGATTTAGAAAATGGTTTTGGTTGCAGCTAATTCTACAGCTAATTTCTCCTGTCCCTTCAGAAGCTCATGTGGGTTGCTCTTTGCAGGACGTTTCAAAGCAGCTTCCAGCACGCTGTGTCTCAGCAGCCCTCTCTGTGTGGTCAGAAGGGCAGTTGGGGGAAGCTCGTGGCCTGCAGCGTGTCTGTGTCTGCCGGCGATCCCAGGCGCTTGGCCGTGTTTTGCAGCCACGGGTCCTGGCAATGCAACCTCAGAACAGGATGTTTCATCTGGTTCATGTCCATGTTGCTGGCTTGGGCTGTGAAGCATGACTGTTATCGTTTTGGGGTTGCCCTTCTGGCTGTGTGCTTGCAAAAATAGTTGGGAGAATGTGCATAGAGTTTCTGGATCAGTGTGGTGCCTCCAGGGATGATTTCCTTTCTTGCCCTGCTGTGTTTCTTGTGCAGTTTCTGGGCAGTGCTCCTTCCAGGGATGGTGTGCTCT